AAGGATGGCTGCTTCCAAGTCCTTCTTTTGGTTGTTATTGCTCGATCACTTTTTTTTTTTGTTTAAGTGATTGCTCGACATGGCTTCTTGAGAAGTCAAAACGAGCTTTTGAGACCCAAATGTTGTTTTTAACTCCTTTAACTAATTTTATAAAAATGCATCTTCTTGTTAGAAGGGTTTCTAAAGAAAGTTAGACGAATATGGTTCTCTAAAAATATTTTTGGAATATGAAACATTTTTAGAAATTAATTTCCATACAGAATTTAAAGTAATTTCCTATAAAACTCTTCTGCATAGGGATGACAAAATAACTTGTCGGCTTGGGCTCGGCCCGGAAAAAAGCCTGAGCCAAGACGGCTCGTGGCTGGGTGGGGCTGAGCCGAGCCCCATTTTGGGGCGTCAACTAGAACCGAGCAGGGCCGGCTTGTGAGCCTAAAGAAAAAAAATTACCTGCCATTTTTTTTAGCTATAATTTTTTTATATGTTAATATTTAGTCATTATTTATAATACGTATAAATTGCACAGATTTTAAATTCTCTAAAAAAGTCTAATTTTTTTGGCCGAGCTTTTGCTCGGCTCGACTCAACTCAACTTGGGCCAAAAAAACTTAAAGTATTTTTACTTGAGCCGAGCCCGAGCAAAAAGTATCGACTCGACTCGTTGACACCACTACTTCTACATATCGCAAATACAAAAAAGTCATGTCAAACAGACTTTTAAGAACTTTATTATAGGATTGTATCCCACTCGACTTTGGATCATCAAATTGTTGAAATCCAAATACCTATAAACTGTTTAAAAAAATAATAATAATACAAGATCCTGCATTTAATGAGTAGTGTTTCCTCCCCCCACTCCTCCCCCTACATCTTCGTCAGACACAAGTTACCCAAATTAATATGTCTCTTGGACACTAGTCCTGCATTTATTCACCGACCTCAACGAACAAAACCCTGCACCAACTAATTTCAAACACAGTTTTTCAACTGCAAAACATAACCTCCAATTTCAAACGTTGGCACCCTGCCCTTTTCTCTATCTGAATCTTTCTGCCTGCATTGTCATCTTCAATTTTCTCTCTTCTCTATAACCTTGTTAGCCTTCCGGGATGGCTAAAAAACCTCTTATAATACCTATATTTCTATGCTTTTTATTCATTTTTATGACTGAGCATTCTTCTGATGCAAGACATTCACAATTTCTACACATTAAACCTAAAACTCGAAGTTCTCCAAACATGTTTTCCGGGTTTTTGCCGAAGGGAATGCCTATACCGCCATCGGGTCCTTCGAAGAGACACAATGATATTGGTTTGCAGGGAACTCAAGGATTGCCTTGAAGATTTAAGCATGTATGCATGGATAAGTGTTATTCATGTTACTTATTGGTACTTTGATGAGAATT